GGGGCGCCGGCGGTGGCCGCCCCGGGTTCCCGGCCTGGGTGCGGCAGAACCCCGCGGGCCACGCCGGCCCAAGCTTTGGTGCAGCATTTTGGTTGGGGGCCGCCCGCCACCGCCTTCCCCTTTGGTTTGGGGAGGCCCCGGGCGGGCGCACCCCAGGCAGCGCCGCCTGCCGCGCCCCCTCGAGAAAACGGCCTTTGGATCGAGGGAGACAAGCTGGACTTTATGACACTACCGGCGCGGACGGGCGGCCTCTACTCACTTCCGCAGACACGGCGGGCGCGGGGCCGCGGCTCCTCTCCGGGTTTTAAATAGTTAATGCTCTCGCAGGGAGGACTAGACACGGGTGTAGAAATCTCGGCCCAAGTCTTAAGTGAAGAAGTGACCCGCGGGGGCGGGCAGCCCGGCCCTGCAGTCTGCGGCGCCCGCCGTGGGCCCCGCGGCCGTGACGAGCTCCCCGAGCAGCTGCAGCGGGAGGGTTCAGGGCCCACCCCCGGTCACTTGTGTCGCTGTAACGATTTTCTCTTCCTTCTCTTGAAAAAACAGCAGCACCTGGAAGGGAGAGAAAGCGCGGGCGTGGAGGTGGGCCGGGGGCAGGGGGGGCCCAGGGCGTCCCCGCCCCCAGACGCAGCCCGGGGCTTACTTGGTGTCGTCGGCGACCTCCACCTCGGCCGGCGCGGTGATGGGGGCGTTGGAGTGACCGGCGGTGGGGTCGTCGGCATTCAGCTCCCCGTTGGTGGAGTTCAGTGCCTGGGGCAGGCGGGGGCGGTCAGCACGGAGTCACGGGGCCCCGCCCCCCACACTGCTGGGGTCCTGGCGCGCCCCTCACCTGGTTTTTGCTGTGTAGCTGGGCTTTGTCCCGAGGCTGAGGCTGCGAGGGCAGGTCGGTGTGGACCGTGCCGATGGGCGTCGGCTGCAGGGGGAGGGACCGGCGCTGAGGCCGGCAGCCCACTCGCGCCCCCACCGCCCAGGGGTCCCACCCGCTTCACGTCCAGGGTTCCCGGTACCAGGGCCCCAGTGTGCCACAGTCCTGCCCCATGTCCAGAGTCCCCCCCCACCATGCACTAGCGGCTTCCCGCCCCCCACACCGAGGGTCCCCCCACGTACCAGGGGCTTCCCGGCCCAGTCGTACTCGTAGTCGAACACGAAGCCGCTGCGGTCGAAGAGGTCTGTGAAGAGCTTGCGCAGGTAGTCGTAGTCGGGCTTCTCGAAGAAGTCCAGGCGCCGCACGTAGCGCAGGTACGTGGCCATCTCCTCTGCGGAGAGCGGCAGGGCTGGGCGGGCGCGGGGGCGGGGCGCGGGGGGGCGGGGGGCAGGGCCGCGGGGCGCCCCTCACCTGGGAAGCTCTCGCACAGCACCTCGATGGGCGTGGCCCGCTTGGTGTCCCCGATCTTCTGGTAGCGCTCCTTGAGCGTGTCGGCCTGCGGGAGAGCGGTCAGCCCGGCGCCGACGCCCCCGCCCCCGCCCCCCGCCGGCCCCACCCACCTTGAGCCCCTGCCAGGGCAGGCTGCCGCGCAGGAAGTACATGAACATGTGGCCCAGCGCCTCCAGGTCGTCGCGGCGGCTCTGCTCTGCGGGGGGACAGCAGGTCAGCGCGGCCCCCGCGCCCCCCCGCCCGGCCCGCGCGCCGCTCACCCTTGCCCAGGTGCGTGTTGATGCTCATGTAGCGCGCCGTGCCCGTCAGGCTCTTGTGCTCGCGGTACGGGATGTGCTTCTTGGTCTCGGGGTCGATGTACTCCTTGGCCAGGCCGAAGTCGATGATGTGGATGGCGTGCTGCCGCTTGGTGCCCGGCCGGCCCACCAGGAAGTTCTCGGGCTTCACGTCGCGGTAGATGAGGCTCTTGGTGTGCACGTACTCCATGCGCGTGATCTGGGGGCGCACGTGCGCTCGCGGGGCTGGGCCGGGCCGCCCCGGGCCCCGCCCCCGCCTGCCCCTCCTCTCCCCGCCCCTCTCCCCGCCCCTGCCTGACCCTCCCCGGGCCCCGCCCCTGCCTGACCCGCCCCGCCCGTCTGACCCCTCTCCCCTCCGCGCCCCTCCGCGCCCGCACCAGCTGGATGGCGATCATGAGCACCGTCTTGAGCGTGAACGTGCGGTCGCACAGGTCGAAGAGGTCCTCCAGGCTGGGCCCGAGCAGCTCCAGCACCATGGCGTTGTACTTCCCGCACGGCCCGAAGTAGTAGACCTGAGGGACGCCCTCTGCGGGCGAGGGCGACACAGGCTCGTGCGGCCCCTGCGCTCGGCCGCGCCCCCCGCCCCCCGGGCCCCGCGTACCGGCGGCGCTGAGCTGCTTGTAGAAGCGGTACTCCAGGTGCAGCTGCGGCGCCCGGGACTTGATGGGCTCCTGCGGGGACGGCGCGGTTACCGGGGGCGGGGCCCGTCCTCCCGCCCAGGCCCGGGACCCCACCCCCGCCGGGAGCAGGATCTGAGCCCGCCCCGCGGGGCGGCCCTGGATGGGGGGCGGGGCAGGGCCCCGACTCACCAATTTGATAGCTACGTATTCATTTGTATAGAGATTCTTCCCTGCGGAGGAGAGACAGTCAGGTCAGAGGAGAGACAGGTCGCAGCGTCCTCCGAGGGGCACCTCCTGCCCCCAGCCCACCCCGAGCTCGGCCCAGCTCTCCCGGGCCCCGCAAGGCAGCCGCGGCGCCGCGGGAGTCCTCATCCGCCCGCACCCTCCTCTCCTGGGCCCCCGGCCCGCAAGCCCCTCTGTGCTCCAGACCCCGGCCCACCCCAACACCCCGCCCACCCCCAGGCCAACCCTGCCTCGGCCCGTCAAGGGGCGGCTCCCAACTCCTCTGCGGGGTCCTCCCCGCCAGCGCGCCAGGGCCTCCAACTCTCCCATCTAAAAAAGCGAAAATAGAACAAAGAGCCCCCGTGACCCGACGGCCCGTCTTCAGTCCCACTGCAACGAAGCCCGAGATGTCCGCAGCCCCCATGCGCCGGGGCACCTCCACTCCCCCGCCCCTAGATGCTCTG